AGCAGAGGACCCCTCACCTGTGAGACAGTCTACCCTCAGCCAAGCTGTGTTGCAACAATTTCCCAGAAGAGGGATACCAGACCCTAAGGAACTATCCTAGGACCCCTCACTGTGTCCCCAGCCAACAGATGGGGTCCACCTCTCTCCTTCTGAAACCACTGCATCTGCCTCCCATGCTGACCACTGAGGGTACTCCGGGCTACTCTGCTCTCCCCAGATCTGTGAGCGTGGTGACAGAGGAAAAGTAGTAACACACCAGTGCCAGCCAGGCAGGGACAGAGGGCCCCAGGCCAGAAGGAGCCATTCGGATGGCCAGGCCATGAGGTCACTGAGGGACACACCAAGGAAGCCAGGGGAAGCAGGCAGGTAGAGGACTCCACATCCCAACCAACAGCCTTCCTCAGAGGGGCATGGTGGGCAGGCACTTGGCACAGTCACCCTTTGATGGGGAGAGTCACCCACCATGCTATCCTGGGTGAACGCCCAAACTCACCCCCCCCTGACCATCTGGCCCTAAATCAGTGGAGCTGCCCACGCCCTGACCCCAAGCCACCCTGAGGCCAGGATGCAGGTCTGGAGGTTGCCATGGTGTGTGTGTTTTATTCTATAGGGGGGGAAAAAAGGGGGGGGGGGGGGGGGGGGCTGGATAAGATGGGCAGAGAGGGAGGCAGGACTCAGGCCTGGTGAGAAGGTGGCTGCCCATATTGGCTCTCGGACCCCTGTGTGCACACCCATATTGGCTTTTGGACCCCTGTGTGCACACCCCCTTGTTGCTCTGACTGTATCTTTCAGGAGGGATGCAGAGACTTAAGGTTTTAGGAGGTTCTTAACCTGCCATCTGCTGTGGTCACTCCCAAGCTATAGCTCTGGCAGGAAGACTGGGCTGGGTTACCAGGACAAGCCCATATTTGAAGCAGAAGACTCTAGGGGGCAGAAGCTGAGGCTCCCCCTGCCAGACCCAGAGATTGGGTTCAGGTCCTGGCATCCACATTGCTTAGACACTCCCAATACACTTCCCTATTAGGCCTGCCTCTCTCGGGCTCTGAGGTGACTCAGGAAGAGACCTCTCCCCACATCACAGGGACATAAGAGCCAGTGTTTACAGGGTGTGGGCTCACAACGGGCTGAGGCCCAGAGGGAGGTCATTCTATCAACAGTAGCTAATATCATCAGCCCCCACTCCGGCTGGGAGCCAGGAGTAGCAGAAAGAGAAACCATTGTCCTAGCCTGACATCCTTGGAGGGGACAAGGTGGACAAGCAGGAGTGGCCGAGCTGGGAGTAGGCTTCTCCCCAACAGCTCTCTGGCTTCTTTCCTAGTTCAGTCCTGCAGCTCTGGGGAGTGTCTGCCCTAACAGGCAATGATAAGTAACATTAGTAAATCCTAACACATGCCAGGAACCTCCTAAAACCGTAAGTCCCTGCATCCCTCCTGAAAGATACAGTCAGAGCAACAAGGGGGTGTGCACACAGGGGTCCGAGAGCCAATATGGGTGTGCACACAGGGGTCCGAGAGCCAATATGGGTGTGCACACAGGAGTCCGAGAGCCAATATGGGTGTGACACCCCTGGTGTCACAGTGAGTTAAATGCTAGGTTGCTAAACTAAAGGTCATCGATTCAAACCCACCAGTCACTCTGAGGGAGAAAGATGAGACTGTCTGCTCGCATAAAGATTTAGAGCCTCAGAAACCCTGAGGAGCAGTTCTCTACTCTGCCCTGTGGAGATGCTAAGCACTGGAATTATCTCCATGACAGTGGGCTTGGTTTGAGGGTTTTGGTACCAGGAAGAGGGGCAGTGATAAAATCCCACTTCCCTATCGGAAAACTGGATTCAATTCCTAGCCAAGGAACCTCATATGCAGCTGTCTTCCATCTGTCAGTGGAAGTTTTTTTTTACTAGGATGCTGAACAAGTTTCAGCAGCACTTCCAGACTCAGACAAACTAGGAAGAAAAGCCTGGTCATCTATTTCTGTTCATGGAAGCAGCCATCAAGAAATCAAAGGATGTGTTGCATTAGGCAAATCTGCTGCACAAGACCTCTTTAAAATGTTAAAGAGCAAAGATGTCAGTTTGAGAACTAAGGTGCGCCTGACCCAAGTCGTGGTATTTTCAATCGCCTCAGATGCATGTGAAAGCTTAACAATAAATATGGAAGATGGGAGAAGACTCGATGCACTGGAATTATGGTGTTGGAGAAGAATATGGTAAGTATCATGGACTGCCAGAAGAACAAGCAAATGTCTTGGAAGAAGTACAGCTAGAATGTTCCTTGGAAGTGAGGATGAAGAGACTTCACCTAACATACTATGGACATGTTATCAGGAGGGACCAGGCCCTGCAGAAGGACATCACACCTGGCAAAGCAGAAGGTCAATGAAAGAGAGGAAGCCCCCCAATGAGATGGATTGGCACAGAGGCTGCAACAACAGACCCAAACATAACATTTGCAAGAATGGCATGGGAGCAGACAGTGTTTCGTTCTGTTGGGCATAGGGTCGCTGAGTCAGAACTGATCTTAATGATACCTACCAACAACATCCCTACTTACAGATAAGCAACTGAGGCTCCTGGAGGCAGCTGGCATTGGCAGGACCTACCCTACACAACTAAGGAACTCTGGTAGGGTAGTGAATTACAAGTTGGGCTGCTAATCGTAAGGACACAGTTTGAATCTACCAGGCGCTCTTCAGGAGAAAAAAAGAAAGGCTTTCTGCTTCTGTAAGCCTCGGAAACCCTATACAAGGTCTCTAGGAGTCAGAACTGACTCAGTGGCACATAACCACCACCATCCTACATGACAATAGGTATACTCATGTCTACTGCCCCAGCTGGGCCTAACCAGTTTACATAGGATCTTCCCAGTCATTTCTTACTTGGCCCTTTGTCTTAGGGTAAGCCTGTCCTTTGTCAAGGGGAAGCAGAGGAAGAGACCCTAGGCGGCTAGAAGCTCAGCTCCACCATGATGGCAAAAGGAAGAGGGTGGGTGGTTACTGGTCTGGGGAGTCCAGAGGCAGAAAACATTAGAGGTAATGCTGTCTATGTCCTGTTGGTTTATCAGGACCTTTGGGCTTCAGTGAGTCCAGCAGGTCCCCACATTTGCCTTCATAGTGCCACCCTGACTTCTCTGAGCCACCGACATACCCTACTGCCCCCAGGAGATGTCAGCAGCACAGCTTACAGAGCAGAGATGCAGGTGGTACCACCAACATGGTCCTCTCCAGCACCAGACCTGCTCATCTTGACCCGGAGTGTGTGGTCTGACCCCTGCCCACGTCTCCAGCCTCATCTAATGCCTCCTGCCCTCTTACCCCTTCCTCTCCTGTGTAAGCCACGTTGGCTTTTTCTCAGCACCCCTCTCACTGCAGGGCCTTTGCATGCCCAAGTCACTATGGAGGTGATTTCTCTGCATACCCGCCCCTCCCCCCCTTATGTTCTTCCCTATGGTTCAGTTCAGCACCATCTTCTCTGATCTCCAAGACCAGCTCTTACTTATTCTTGTAAGCCCTCTCTTCAGCCCTTGTTAGCTGTGAGCTCATGTATTTATGACTCTGTTCCTGGATTCATATCTGCTCTCCCTACACACGGGACTGTAAGGAAGCCCAGGGCAGAAAAGAGTCTTTCTCAAGCTCCTTGTTGTTGTTGTTGTTAAGTGCCGTCGAGTCGGTTCCGACCCATAGCGACCCTGTACATGGTTTCCGAGGGTGTAAATCTTTACGGGAGTAGAAAGCCTCATCTTTCTCCCGCGGAGCGGCTGGTAGTTTCGAACTGCTGACCTTAAGGTTCACAGCCCGATTCGTAACCACTACGCTACCAGAGCTTCTCAAGCTCCTAGACAACCCCAAATAAAGATGTACTGCTTGCTTCTTGTGGAAATGGGATGACAATTTCCCTTCCCATCACATCATAGGACCGTGAGCAAGCACCAAGGGAGCAAGCAGACAGCTGAGGATTCTCCTACACAGCCTCAGCCCTCTGGAGGTGAAGGCTGCCTCTAAACCAGACCAAATCATTCTCCTTGCCATCAAGTCCATCCTGACCCTTGGCAACCCCACATACGACACAGTAGCTGCTGCATGGGGGTTCTTAGCTATAAGGAATCCTGATGATATTGTAGAGTATGCAGTGGACTGCTAGTCACAAGGTCAAGTGGTTAGAAGCTACCAGAAGCTCAGTGGGAAAGAGAGGAAGCTTTCTGCTCCTGTAAAAATTTACAGCCTTGGAAACCCTACATAGGGTTGCCATGAGTTGGATTGGACTCAATATCAGTGGGTCTGGTTTCGGTAATCTTTAAGGAAGCAGATCACCAGAACTTTCTTCCACAGTGCCACCATCCTTTAGGTTAGTAGGAGTCGAGCACCAACTGTTTGCACCATCTGGGAACCTTGCTTTAGCTCTAGATCAAATACACACGTGCTTCATAGACATGTTAAGATGGGAAAGTCGGGTCTTGGGCACATGGAAGGTACATGACCTTTTCGGGCTGGAAAACCTGGACAGCAGTGCCAGGGAAGAGTTCTGCTCTCCTTGGATAAATCTAGGAAGGCTTCCTGAAAGAAAAGTCCGACTTCCTTGACACAACCAAGCATACATGATGTTGTTGTTACGTGAGTCGGTTCTGACCCATACTGACCCTGTATGGGGTTTCCGAGGAGCAGCTGGTAAGCTTGAACCACAAATCTTGCTACTCAAAGTGACTTTGCAGTCCAGTGCATTAACCCACAGCACCACACCAAGACTCCATGGCACTGTGGGTTAATGTGCTAGACTGCAAGGTCAGTTTGAACCATGAGGTTGGTAGTTCAAACTCATCAGCTTCTCCTCCTATACAGGGCCGCTATGGGTTGGAACCGACTATATGGCACTTAACAACGTTAACAAAGCACATGATAGGCAGAGGAAATATGGTGTTGCCAACCATGGAGGCTCTCACCAGGTGATCTCTCTCATAGCATAGCAGACCCTTGCCCACCCTGGTCACTCCTGGCTCTGCTTCATGTACCTGCTCATCCACTTTATGGGCGATGAGGGTCGCTCCCTCCTCCAGCTCCGCCACACTGATGGGTCTGACCCGAAGCGCAACCTGGGAAGGAAAGGACGGACCCCAGGGTTAGGAGACAGAGAGGGGGGCTGTGCCAAGTCACCAGGAGAGGGACGAGAGGGTCTCAGGGTCCCCGTGGGTCTCTATGTCTTAAAGGGCTCAGCTTAGGTTCACAGGGTGGCTGTTGTCTGTGTTTGCCCAAGGGAGAGCCCCAAAGGACAGAGCTGTCTGCTTCTTGGGCCAATGAAACTCCCTGGCTCCCTTAAGCATTGCAACCTGGTGTCTTGGCACGGGGGCACAGCTATCTGCACACCATGGATGATGTTCTGCAACAGGAGGTGTAGGGCGAGAGGTAGCCTGGAGCAGGGGACCCCCGAGAGACTGCCCCTGGCCCTCCTAAGAGCTGGGGCCTTATTTTCCTACCCCAAGGCCACTGTCCTAGGGTTCTCCAGCCACTGAGAGCTGCATGGGTTTCCCTTAAAGAACGAAGGGGGAGTGTTTCTCCCCGCTGCGTGTGGCTGTGTATGAGTGAAGGGCCCTCACATCTATAAAATAACTCATCACTTTCTGAGGGATGGAGGGACAAGCCTCGCCTGTCCAATAATCTGTCTGGTCTCACTGGACAGACAGGAGAGTCCTTCATCCTTGCTCAGGGGCACCCCACTTTCAGACACATTCTAAACTGCCAGGAAGGATGCTCCAGACCCCAGGGGCTTGGAGGTGGTCTGGGGTAGGTGGGGGGGGCTGACTTTTGTGGGGTAACATTATCCACCAGTTACCACACCGCCCACCTGCTGGGAATCGCCCATTTGCAACTTTGAGTCAGGGTAGAAGGTGGGCTGGGAGACAAAGACCTCCACCCCAGTGTCTGAGTAGGGCGGCCTTGGGGTTTCTGTGTCTTCCCCTCATCACTTCTAACTTCCAGGAACGGCAACCAGGCATCTTGTCCTCAGCTCCTACCTGCTCACATCTCTTCCTAGACCCAGGTTCTGGGAGCCATCTTGGTATGTTTCCCCTTCCCTGAATAGTTGGGGTACTGGCTTGGACATTATCTGTGCTGAAGCCCAATAGCCAGCAGACATTCCTGACACCCTGTCAGTTCCCTGCCACCTGGTACTCCTGTCTGCCCACCTATGACTGTCCACTCCCAGCAGGACTAAGGACCATCTGGCTCCCCAGGAAATGGAGGTAATTTACATGCTTATTCTCCTACTGACAGTAGGTGTAAAGGGCCCTGATCTTTCTGGCCCAAAGAAGTCTTCCCCCGACACGCCTCTGCACAGACTTTTTTGGTGGTGGGGGGGTGGGGGTCTCAAGGAGGGAGGGTGTAAGAGAGGTGGGGCTGGAGTAGGGTGAACTTGTTAGTCCTCAGGAGGATGACCGTGATGCCTTGCCCCCAAGACGTGTATAAAGTTGCTCTGGGCAGTTCCAGCTCTCACCCTTGAGTCCTCTTAATGGGGGGGGGAGAGTGGACTATGGAGTAGGGAAAGGGTCTCACCATGAGTTGCTGGTCCTTGGAGTCGCCGTTGTCCTTCATGCTGACGGCTGGTGAGGGGCTCAGGCCGCCACACCGGGCATGACCGGGCCTACCTCCGAGGCCTCCAGGTCCCCTCCGGGCGCTCCTCACAGCTTCCCCGCTGCAGCTGCCTGACAACCCGAAACCAACAACGCGTCCGCGGCCAAGGTTGCTGACCGAGGAGGTGGGGCCGGGGGAGGGACGGCCCCTCCCACCTCCTGGGCCCGCCCCTCCCGGCGCTGTGGGCAAGTGGGCGCCTCTGCCCGGCTGGCGCCCGAGCCTGCGCCCTCTGACCGGCTGTGCTACGGGTGCGTCCTCAGTCCTCGGCGTCCGTGCGTCCGCCGGGGTGCGGCGTCCGTTTAGCAGCTTCTAAGCGCCTCGCGGCCTGGGCGCCCCTTGCCCACTGCCCTCCAGGGGGCGCCCGGCCGACCACGCGGTGTTCTGGGTGGACAGCTCCCTGCGCCGCTGCCCACCGCCGCTGCTGTCTATCTTTCGGCGTCTCCAGGGCGGCGGCTGGCAGCTTAGGGTTTCCATGGGCGCTGTGAACATCGCAACGACCATCTTCACCTCCCCCATTGCCCCAGACAGGGAGGTGGAGAGAGGACCTTGTCCCTTTGCCCAGCTTACCCACCCCAGTCACCGAGTGGCATAGGGGAGCCTCTAAGTTACTTGGAGTGTGCAGCGGGGGAGTGACGGGAGAGCCGGCCCATGTGTGCCCTCTAACAAACAAGACTCTATCGTGGCCAGGAATCTAGAACAAAAGGGCGAGCTCCCTGCACCCTTGCCTTCAGCGAGCATTATTCTTGGTGGTAACTACAGCAATTATGCACTCAGGGATAGCAATGGAAAGATTCCTAGCCTCAGGAGGCCCCAGGAAAACAGGATTCTAGTCCCAGCTCTGCCTCTAACGGCAGAACCACCTGGAGTCAACCACACACTCCCACCTCAATTTCCTGGGTGACGTTGGAGCTCCTTTCTGCTCTGGGGGTCCATTCTTTTCGTTTTCTGCTGCCGGGACTGAGGCTGAGCCCAGCACCCATGTAAGGATGATTGAGGCAGTCACGGTGGGGTTCACTTCCGATGGAAGGAGCTGGGTAGGGAAGAGCGGCCGTCCCCTGGGGCAGTCTCCGACGGCTGGCACACATCCAGAGGTGGAGAATGATGTCAGCTTCCACCCTGGGACTGGCATCCCAGACTGCTCCCAGGAGACGGGGTGCATATGGTTATTAATAAACAGCAGCAGACAAGCAGCCTTGGCTTTGATAGTAGATAGATGGGGGACCTATCTAAGAACAACTGAAGACAACGCTGCCTGGCCTTCTGCCATCCTCACTATTTCTGGCATGTTTGATTCCAGCATGTTAGCTACTGTGCCGATCTATCATCTCTCCAAGGGTCTACATCGCTGGCCCTCTACCTCAACAAACACCAAGTCCTCCTCAAGTACATGGTCCTTCCTGATGATGTGACCAAAGCAAGCAAGTCTGTGTTCTGTTATAGATAACCAGGTCTTTCCTCCTAGTCTCTCTGGGTCTAACATTCCACTGAAACCTGTCTACCCTGGGTGACTGATATCAGTGGCAAAGCTTCCAGTATCATATCACAGCAACATGCCAGCCACCACAGTATGGCAAACTGTAAGGGTAATGTTGTTGTTGTTGTTGTTAGGTGCCATCAAGTCGGTACCGACTAATAGCGACCATATGTACAACCGAACGAACCACTGCCCGGTCCTGGGTCAACCTCACAATTGTTGCCACTCTTGAGTCCATCGATGCTGCCACTGGGCCAATCTATCTCGTTGGGGTTCTTCCTCTTTTTCTCTGACCCCTCCTCCTTACCAAATATGACATCCTTCTCCAGTGACTGGACCCTCCTGACAATATGTCCAAAGTATGAGAGATGAAATTTGGCCATCCTGGCCTCCAAGGAGCACTCTGGCTGTTCATCTTCCGACATAGATCTGTTGGTTCTTTTGGCAGCCCATGGCACTTTCAATATTCTCCTCCAACACCATAACTAAAAAGCATCCATTCTTCTACGGTCTTCCTTATCCATTGTCTACCTTTCGCATGCATATGAAGTTATTGAAAATACCATGACTTGGGTCAGGCGCACCTTAGTCCTCAAGCTGACATCTTTGCTCTTCAACACTTTAAAAAGGTCTTGTGCAGCAGATTTGCCTAATGCATTACATCATTTGCTCTCTTGACTGCTGCTTCTGTGAGTGTTGATATTTGATCCAAGGAGAATGAAGTCCTTGACAACTTCAATCTTTTCTCCACTGATAAGAATATTGCTTATTGTTCCACTGGTGAGGATTTTTGTTTTCTTTACATTGAGATGCAATTCATACTGAAGGCTGTGCTCTTTGATCTTCATCAGTAAAGATTTTAAGTGTTCAGAGGACTTGATAAATAAACCAAGTGATGCTTTCTAGAGACCAAACACTGTAGGAGCCAGTTCTTCAGCCAGAGCTGCCCCTTGAGAATACACCCCTAGGTGGTAAGTGGATGAGCTCAACCTGAGTCTGGCAAGCTTTGAGGATGCGTCATTAGACAGAAAAGGCGGTCTCACTTGTGCTTTAGATGCCTGGATCTAATTTGTTTGGATCAGTCACAGGAGCTACTTGACACAGCCTAACTGGGCTATTGCCTTACCTAGTACTGCTGTAACAAAAATATCAGAAAGGGGTGGCTTGAAAGAACAGAAATTTGTTTTTGCACAGTCTGTAGACTAAAGGTCCAAACTAGGGTCTTGACCTTGTCAATTCCTTCCTTGTCAGCAGCACTGGACATTCCTAGGTTCAGTAGCTTGTAGATGAGCCTCACATGGTGCCTATCTCCCCCCACCTCCCTTGTGTGTCAATGTGTGCATTCTGGTCTTTTTACAACTAGAAGTGACTAAGTTTAGAATCCACCCTACGTTGATCTGACCTTAATAATATAATAAAAGAAAAATCCTACTTCCAAACAGGGCCACTTCCATAGGTACAAGGGCCAGAAATCCAACTACTAAATTTAGCTGGTGGGTGGTAGACACAATTCAATCCGAAACTTTGAGAGTTCTCTTCCTTGTATCTCTTCCTCTACATGCATAAATCCCACCTAGGGTGGTCCATGGGCAAACATAAGAGAAGGTTCTGAACAGGGAGGTCCCTAGCCCGTCTTCCTTGGAAACTCCCCACAAAGTCTCAAGCCATTTTTCCCATGTGACTTCCCTTTCTTTGTCTGTCATCAACAACACTGCATGGTATATCTCAATTCTTCACAATCAAATTTGACTTCCCCTTTCTCTTCATCCTCTCTACTCAAGTCTGTAGACTCTACCTGGGCAAATGTTTCTCCTCTTCATCATCTCTTGGCCATGCCTCCTTCCACCTTCTGTTGTCAGCACGAAGGGACGTAACTCCACTTACTTACACCACCAACTCCTTTTTCAAAAGCCATCGTACCTACCACCTTCCCCTTTCCTTCTAAAAGCTGGTCCTTTCCATTCCACATAGGTCTGGTGAAGCCCATGACAACATGCCATCCTGCCCTCAGGCTTGGCCTCAGTGACAGGGATGGGTTCAAGGATATGACCCAAACTGGTTCCGTCAGAGTCTTTCCCTAAGATTTTGTTACACTGGGAGGGCAGAGCTCTTTCCCACCTTTGGGATAACTGGCTGAGATGAATGAAATCAGGAGAGTCATGGACTGGGTTCTCCTTACTTTGTCCCCCTACTGCCAGTCCTTGGCACAGTGCTGAGTAAAGGCAAAGTTACCTGGCTGGTAAATGTCCAAACTGGCTCACGCTTCAAAGCCTGGGAGCGTCTTCGTACTACAGGTTCCCATTTCACCACCAGGCCCTTGGTCACAGAGGCACCTGTTCCTAGCCTCTGACCCTGGGAAGCAGGGGAGTGTCGGGAGGGGACGCCAAGCTGACCTTAGTGGGTAGGGCTTGTCACCTATCCTTTGCCCTCCTGTGGGGCCTCTGAGCCCTGGAGCAAACTTTGTTTCTGATAAAACTTTTATTTTCTTTCCTTCTGCAGCATTTTTGCACTCTGAAGGGAATGCAGACATGGCCCCTCCCAGGATGCTGGTTTGCCATTGTTGTAAGCTGAAGTGTCGGGGGGCAGAGTGGCACAGGTGTTAATACATCGGCTGAGTGGATATGCTCAGACAGGAGGTGCACGACCTCACACGGTGGGGCCTCGCTGTGCTGTGGATGTCTGGTGTGGATTCTGCCACTTTCTGTCCCAGCTGGGATGTGTCCCTGCACCCAGGCTCTACCTCAAACTCCACATTGCACACCCACGGGCATGGTTTCCTCAGCAGTCTCTGGTTCAATGCTGAGACATTGTAGATTTGTTTGGTTCTCCAATGGAGGAGAATGAACAACAGGTTTCTGGTGAGGCAGGTGAACAAGGAGCTGGGTAAGGCGGTGGATACGGCAGGTGAAGGTCATGGACATCTGGCCTCAGAGTCCCAGCTGCCCATTGCCCATTGGATTCTTCAGGGCCTCCTCCTTTTCTCCCACGGCCCATTCCTCAAATACCATCAAAGCACAATGGGGCTCTCTGTATCCACAGCGAAGGATTTGCAGGGCCAAGCAGATGGCTCACCTTTCCAAACCCAAGCAAAAAGCCAAAATTCTACTACAGCCAAAGAATGCTCTCCTTTGGGGTCTGCTACCCCAGATCTCACCGCGGGGTACCTCCGTGCACTCAGCTTAACACCATATGAAGCCTGGATTTTCTCTTGAGGCACTTGAACTGGATGTATTTTATCCCCTAACATGAACTTGCCTCTACTGACCCTTCTACAGATATGAGTGTGGCAAATTCTATCTAACATGAAACTTTTCATTGGAACCATCTTTGAGTGCACCTTGCAGTGATGAGGCTAACTCGCACCATGCTGAACAACCATTACCCTCGTCTGTTTCCAAATGTTTTTCATCCTCCCAGACAGAAACTCAGCAAGCCTTAAAGGGCTCCCCTTCTCCCAGCCTGTGGTCTCCATGCATTTGCCTGTTCTGGAAGTGGGGTCATAGGGTGTTTGTCCTTTGGTCTATTGACATTGTGGGCGGCATCATACTTGCAGTAGGGTCGACTTGTTTATTAAGGATAATATTGAGCAACGTTCGTAGCCTCTACTCACTAGAATCCAGTAGTACACCCAGCCTGTGTCACCCCCAAATGTCTCCAGAGGTGATCAATTTGACTGCCCTAAGAGTAGTGTCAGAGCCCCCTTCTCTGTAGCCTCCATAGTGAGGGGCTTATCACAGGTAGGGATGCTGGATTGCACAAATGGTTAACACGTTCTGCTGCTGACTGAAGGTTGGAGATTTGAGCCCACTCTGAGGTGTCTCCAAAGAAAGTTTGGTGATCTACTTCCAAAAACTCAGCCATTGAAAACCTTATGGCACACAGTCTACTCTGACACTCATGGGGGGGGGGGGGGGAGGTGGGCGGTGGCGCCATGAGTTTGCAGAGTAGGACACAAGAGCCCTCTGCCTGCTGCCTTGGTGAAAGC